TCATGGCAGTCCTCCCACCTCGGCCTCCTAAATGCTGGGATTACAGGTGTGCACAACCATGCCTAGCTTGTTTTCTTATTACTGAATTCTGATGGGGTTGGTTTGTTTGGTTGGTGTGTGTGTGTGATTTTTTTTTTTTTGAATACAGGTACTTTTTCAGATATGTATTTTGCCAGTATTCTCAGTCTGTAACTTGTCTGCAAGTCTAATAGTGTCTTGCATATTGAAGCACTTAATTTTAGTAAAGTCCAACAGTTGACCATCTTTTCTTTCAGGAATCATGCTTTTGTGTTATATCTAAGAAATCTTTGACTAATCCAAGGTGAAATGCTGTCTTTGAGTTTTTACAATTTTATGTTTTACATGTAGATGTGTAACATATTTTGAGTTAATTTTATAGGTGTGAGATATAGGTGAGGCTCACTTTTTTTTCTATGTAGAAAGCCGGAAAACAGTGTATTTCTAAATTTATACACTTATTATTATTTATTGCTTAATGGTACTGGCTAGGGTTTTCAGTAGGATGTTAAATAAAAATAGAGTAGACATTGGGCCAGGGATTTAGCTCAGTGGTTCCAGTGCCTGCTTTGCAAATGCAGGGACCTGAGTTCAATTCACGGTGCCAAAAAAAAGAGAGAGAGAGAATTGACATCTTTGTTTTGCTCCCAGTCTTTTTTTTTTTTTGTACTGGGGATCAAAATCAGGACCTTGTGTTTGTAAGGCAGGCGCAGAGCCACTGAGCTAAATCCCAACCCCTTCCCAGTCTTTAAGGTGACAGCATTGAGTATTTCATCAGTTTGTACAAGCTTTTTTATAGATGCCCTCTAACTAGTTAAAGAAGTTTCTTTCTGTGCCTACTTTGCCAATAGATTTTATCATGAAAAGATGTTGAATTTTGTTAAATGTTTTTCACATCAGTTGACATATATAATTTTTCTTCTTCAGCCTGCTGATACTACAAATTGTTTGATTTTCAAATATTGAATTAATTATGCATTCTTGGGCTAAAACCCATTTGGTCATTATTTGTTTTTCATTTCATATACTGCTAGATTCAATTTGCTGATATTCTGGAGAGGCTGTTTTTCCTCAATATTGGGAATGGAACCCAGGACTTCAAGAACACTAAGCAAATGCTGTGCTCCTGGGCTACAGCCCAAGCCCTGTTTGTGTCTGTATTCAAGGAGGAGATTAGTCTGTGGCTTTCTTGTAATGTCTGTTTGGTTTTACTTATCTATTCTTCTTAGAGAAGCTTTAACAGTTTCTTTCAAGGAATTTGTTCATTTATATATTTGAGTTTATTTGCATAAAAATGTTCACAGTATTTCTTTAGCCTAATAATTTTATTTTTATTATTTTTACTTTTTCAGGACCAGAAATCTAACTCAGGACCCTGCACTTGCCAGGCAGGTGCAGTGCAACTGAGCTAAATCCCCAGCCCCTTAGTATCACTTTAATGCCTGTAGGGTCTGTAGTGTTGTCCTCTATTTCATGCACCATTTCGATAATATGTGGTGTTGTCCTGTCTTTCTCCTCCTCTTCCCATCTGCTCTTCTCTTCCTTTGCACTCTTCCTTCTCTGTTGAGCTGAGTAAAGGTTTAACTTTATTGACCCTTTCTAAGAACCAGCTTTTTGTTTAATTGATTTTCTCTGTTGATTTTCTGTTTTCAGTGATATTGACTTCTGCTTTTACATTTGCCTTGGTTTTAAATTGCTTTTATTTTAATTTCTTTCTTGTTACTAGGGATTGAACCTAGGGCCTCATTCATGTTACGCAAGAACTGTAAGGCTAGGGCCGGGGATTTAGCTCAGCGGTTCTGCCGCCTGCCTCGCAAGTGCAAGGACCCAAGTTCAATCCCTGGTACCAAAAAAAAAAAAAAGGAAAAAGAAAAAAAAAGGAAAAGAACTGTAAGGCTGATCTACATCCCCAGCTCATTCTATAAATTTTTATGTGTTGTATCTTCATTTATATTCTATTTGAATTATTTTCTAATATACTTTGCTACTTTCTCTTTGATCTATGGCTTATTTAGAAGTTTGTTGTTTAATTTAAAAATAGGACTGTCATATCTTTTTTGTTTTTGACTTTTGGTTTAATTATGGTCAAATAATTTTTAATATTTTAATTTTTAAAAATTTGTTAAAATCTATTTTATGGCTCAGAATATGCTTCATGTTAATGAATGTTCCGTGTGTACTTGAAAAGGATGCCTATTCTGCCCACTGGGTAGAATGCTCTAGAAATCTCAGGCAGATCAAGTTGACTGAGATAATTTTTCAGGTTTTCAGCAGACCTACTAGTTTTCCATCCACTAATTCTCTTTACCTACTTAGAAAGGAGTGTTAATGTCTTCAGCTATAATTATGGGTTTATCTAGGGCTGGGCATGGTGGCACACGCCTGTAATCCCAGCACTTGAGAGGAACCAAGGCAGGAGGATCACTGTGAGTTTGAGGCCTGCCTGGGCTACATAGTGAGGCCCTGTCTCAAAAATCCAAAATCAATAAAATAGAATAATGGATTTATCTCTTTATTTTTTAATTTCTATTAGTTTCTGTTTCATGTTTTTGAAGTTATTTTTATCACATTTTCTCAGTAAACTGACCTCTCCTTTTGTCATTGTGCAGTGTCTTTACTCTTGATTAGCCTTTGTTCTCAAGTCTAACTGAATCACAGTCTTGCTATGTACCTCAGGCTGCTCTGAAACTCACGATTCTCCTGCCTCAGCCTCTCATATACTAGAATTCCAGGTGCGTGCCAACTTGTCAAGCTCCTACTTTCTTTTGATTAGTGTTTACATACAATATATTCTCATCCTTTTAATTTAACTTGCCTATCTACATAGGGTTCTTGTTGACAACTTAATGTCAGGCTTTGATTTTTTTAATCTTGCCTGTAAATCTTTTTCTTTTAATAGGGTGATTATGCCATTTACATGTAATCACATTGTTTTCTGTTTGTCTTCTCTGGGTTTTGTTCCTATGTTCCCCTTTCCTACCCCTTTTTGGAGTTTTGAATATTTTTAGGTTAAGGATACATCTGTGCGTGTGCATGCATACACATGTTTCAGTGGCGTTCTCGGGCATAATAACATACAGCTATAACTCTTTCACTGTCTATTTAGAGTTTATATTGTAAGGCTTCAATTAAGAAGTCTTAGAGCGGGCCGGGGATTTGGCTCAGTGGTTCTGCCTCCTGCCTTGTAAGCGCAAGGGCCCAGGTTCGATCTCCAGTACCAGAAAAAGCAGCAGCCTTAGTGTCACATAAATTCTTTTTGTTTTAGTAGGCACCCAGTCCTGTTAGGTTCAGATGAGATAGAACCTATCTTCTATGAGTTGAGTGGTGTTTCTGTTAGTTTTCAAAGCCTCTTTTGTGCTGGGCGTGGTGGGACATGCCTGTAATCCAGCACTGGAGGAGACTGAGGCTGGAGGATTGCAACTTTGAGTCCTGCCTGTGCAATTTAGCAAGACCTTGTCCTAAAATAAAAAAATAAAAATGAAAAGAGCTGGGGATATAGCTCAGGGAATAGAGCAACCCTGGGTTCGATCCCTGTCATGGTGGGGGTGAGAATCAAAGGTCTTTGCTACACTGCTTTGGCTTCATCTCATGCAGGTTGGGGCTGAATTTGAGAGTTACATGGCTTCACACACAGAATTAAGGGTTTCTCCTCACTTGCATCTCTTTTTTTTTGGTACCCAGGCTCGAACTTGGGTCCTTGCACTTGCGAAGCAGGCCACCAAACTGCTGAGCTAAATCCCCGGCCCATCACTTGCATCTCTTTGGGATTCGTCCCATATCCTCTGGTCTGCTTAGTTCCTCCCCATTTGCTTGTTCTCTTGCCAGAAACATAAGGTTTCTTAGAGTTTGAAGTACCTTTTCTGTTGTACTGCTGTGCAGGTCTTGAGCTATTGCAAAGGTAGGAGAGGAAGAGAAAGGCATTGCTTAGCTGCATTGATACTATCTCAGCCAACTGGTCCAGAGTATGACAAGGTGCCCTCGTTGGGCTACATCTTCCAGTTTAGCAGCCTCAAGGAAAAGAACAGCTTTCCCTTAGCTAATCTAGCAAATACCCATAAAGTCACTATTCTTGCAAGGGCCACATGCTCACACTGGGTCTGTGCCTCAGGCCACAACATGGACTGTGCTTAGAAAATCCAGGTCATACACCCAGCCTAGAGCAGATGGGGCTTGTCACCTGCACCTGACAGCATATTGTTGGGCTTTGCTTTTTCTTAAAATCCAATATGCAAATCTTTTGTCTTTTAATAGTAATGTTTATGCCATTTATATTTAATGAAATTATATTTGTTCTCTGTCCTCTGGCTTTTCTTTTTCTGTTTTCCTTTTTCTTCCTTTTGGAGTATTTGAATACTTTTAGTATCCCATCTTAATTCATGTTCAATTTAAGTATATATTTGCGTGTGTGTGTGTGTGCGTGTGTGCATGTGCACATGTGCCTATGTGCATGTGAGAGAGAGGGAAGGAAGGAGGGAGAGAGGGAAAGAGCGAGAGAAAGAGAATGAAGTATTCATTCTCAGCTGGGATGATGGTGCTCCCATGGAAACAGAATAATGTTAGGTATTTTGATATAGATATTGGTATTAGATATTTTAGATACTAACCACATATCTGTGAGATTACTGTCTCATAAATCCAGTGAGATTGGGAAAAAATTGTCTAAAAGGGCTTCTGAGGGGACAGTAGTTTTTGTAAAAGACTGCAAAAAACTGCCTTAAAGTAAACTAAGGTGCTAGTACCAGAATGGGGATGGAAACCAAGCAGCCAGAAATAGCCCTGTCTACTCTGGAGTCTAGAAAATGGGATTGCAGCAGATAGGAGTAGGCGAGCAGGTGCCATCCGAGGGGCGGTGAGTGGGAGCAGTGCCCAGAGAGCTGGGCCTCACCTTCTGTCTCCCCGACCATGGAGTCCTGGTGCGGAGGTGTGGATTTGGCTGGCGTGAGAAAGGTCCTGACTTCTAACTTGTGCTGCCTTTGGTGCAGGTGAAGAGTGAGGTTGAAAAGCTTCCCCGGCAGCAACGGAAGGAAAGCATGAAGCAGAAGATGGAGGAACACACGCAGAAAAAGCAGCTTCTAGTGAGTCCTCAGCCCTGGATTGTGTCCCTGTCCCTCCTGCCTTGGTTCAGGGCTGTTTGTATGTCACATCTCCTCGACCCACACAGCCAGCCACCTGCTACTTGGTGTTCTTTCCTAAAGATCCTTGACCTCCCAGACCTGGGCCTACTCTTGTGTTTTGAGCACTACTCTCCTCCCTGTTGGTAGGCTAGAAACCTTGTCATTCGTGGCTCCTCCTTTCCCTCCAGTCCTCGTCACCTCCTGAAGCATGGCGCGCGCGCGTGTGTGTGTGTGTGTGTGCGTGTGCGCATGCGTGTGTGTGCGCGTGCGTGATCTCCTAGCCCCAGTTCAGTATCACTGCTTTCCTGCAGTGGCCTTCCTGCTTCCTCTGTGGCTCCTGTGTAATTCCTACTCTCACACCGGCAAGTACAAACAGTACAAATTCCAAATCTGGCCGTGTTTCTCCTACTCTGGTGTCTTTGCACATTCTGCTTACTCGGCCCCAAATGCAGGAAATACTAGTCCACGTTTACAAATGCCTTGTGTGTGGGCTGGTTAAGCATTCATGGTTTCATTAGTATTACTTGTTTTCGCATTTGCAGAAGAGGAGCCTAAGCCTCAGAGAAGTGACACTGGCGAGTTGAGAGGGGGGGCCAAGGCCTCGAGCTTGGTGTGACTCCAGGCTTCGTGTTCTCTCCAGGACACCCCACGGGAGGGCTGTCCCTTAACTCTGATTGGGAAGCATGAAGGAGAGGGAGCAAGAGGAGATGGGGTGAGGTAGATCAGTGAGTGGGTACAGTGAGATAGAAGTAAATTCTTGTGTTTCACTGCACCGTAGGGTGAGCAATTATAGATATTAACGAATTGTGGATTTTGCTGTAACTAGAGAGGATTTTTTATATTTTTTAAGTAATCCATGTTTGCAGTATGTAATGTTTGCATTCATGTTAGGGAATAGGTTCATGCACTTAACACATCTTAATTCTTTTTATTCTCTTCCCCTCCCTTCCTCCATCTCTAGATCCCCTCCCCACATTTTCACTGTGGGTAGTTGATACATGTACATAACACATCTCAATTCTTTCCATGCTCCCCCCTGCCCATCTCTTGGTTGCCTTCCCATTTGCAAAAAATCTAGCTTCCTGTTTCATCTGTATTTTGTTCTTTGCTTTGGATTTATCATATAAGAGAAACCAAACCATATAGTATTATAATCTTGTGTCTGATTTATTTCACTTAACCTTACGTTTTCACGTTGCATCCATTTTCCTACAAATGACTGAAATGTATCCTTCTTTGTAGCCAAGTGTATTTCATTATGTATACTACCACATTTTCTTTATCCATTCATCTACTAATGGACATATAGGCTACTTCCAGGATTTAGTATGAAGTCTGCTGCCTGGCGTGGTGGTGCACGCCTGTAATCCCAGCATTTGGGAGGCTGAGGCAGGAAGATCACTGTGACTTTGAGGCCAGCCTTAGCTACATAGTGAGTGCAGGGCCAGCCTGAACCTAACAAGACCCTATTCTTGAAAAAAACAAAAGTGGTGCTGCTCTAAAATTGGTATGCACGTATTGCTGTAATGTGATGTCTTTAACTCTTTTGGGAAGACCTAGAAGCGGAATAGCTGGGTCAAATGGGATTTCTGTTTTTAGTTGAGGAATCTCCATACTGATTTCCATAATGATTGTACTAAGTCACACTCCCACCAGCAATGAAAGGTTCCTTTCTCGCCACAGCCTTGGCAGCATTTGTTATTTGATTTTTACATACTTTATTTTTTTTTGGTACCAGGGATCAAACTCAGGTCCTTGCTCTTGCAAGGCAGGTGGAAGAACGAGTAAGCTAAATCCCTGGACCCAGTTTGATTTTTAGAAGGGAGGATTTGGAATGTTTTACCCCTAAGAAATGATAAATGTTTGAAACAATGGATATACTGATTACCTTGATCTGGTCATTACACAAGGCAGAAATATAGTACTTCTTAAATTCACACAATTATCAATTTTTAAAAGTAATTTTTTAAAACACAGGGCTGGGTAAGGGTTAGATTGATGTCTTTCCTCCTTATAGAGAGCGAGCAACAGAGAGACAGAAACAGAAAGAACAAGAGAGTGCAGACTATATGGCCCTGTAGGAAGCCAATCTGGCAGTAACATCAAGATCCTCAAACATCTGCATACCCTTTGGGCTTGGATTTCCTGAGGCAGTCAAGATTATTTCTTGGGGAAATGAGTTTCTTTATACCATGAAATGTTTTTAGGCATTAAAACACACTTAATGGAAAGATCTTTAATTTTTAAACCATTTATTTGTCTGTGTTTTGTGGCGCTAGGACTTAAGTCTGAATTTTCCTCCCTGGTCATGGCGATCTTTCTCCTGAAATGGTCCCTCAAGCTGACTCTGGGTAAGGTCCTGTCATCTTTCCTCACAGGACCGGGACTTTGTGGCTAAGCAGAAAGAGGATCTGGAGCTGGCTATGAAGAAGCTCACTGCAGAAAACAGGAGGGAGATCTGTGACAAGGAGCGCGAATGTCTCGGCAGGAAGCAAGAGCTCCTTCGAGGTGGGGTCCAGAGTGGGTGGTGCCATCTTGGCCGAGGACCACTATGAATGGGAAGTGGGGAGGGAAGAAAAAGATCTGCTGTGGCTTTTCCATCCCAAAGACCAGGCCTTACCCTTCACGGTGAATCCGAAGGCAACCCCCTCTGAAGTCAGGAATGGTGAAAGGGTACATTCTGACATTTCCCCAAGTCAAGGGAGGGAGAGGAAAGATGTAGCACATGTGGAAACTGTAACTAAGTGCGCTAGAACACTGGGTGGTGGAGAAAGCACTAAGGGCCCCATCCAAAGGTGGTCACATATGCAGCGACTGCTCTGCCAGGCCATGAGCTAGTCAGTGTTCGTATCCCGACCTCAGAATCCTCACCATGAGACAGGTCCTGTTATCATCCCAATTTTTAGACACGAGGGAATGGAGTCTTGGAGAGTTACTAGAGTGTCTTTTTTTTTTTTTTTTTTTTG